GTCACACAGTGAAAAGATAAAAATAGATTTATCCTAAATGACTTTTTTTTTCTTTCTATTTTTGTAAATGAACTTTGCCACAGATCTGCACCTGCATCATGTATTTCTGTCAGTAATATCCTGTCAGTGACACACACACACATAGATGAACACACACTCTGCAGGGGTGAGCATTTCTGGGAAACAGATGAGGAACCAGGATGTCCTGTTCCACATGGCTGTCTGTGACGCGATTGGCTTTACAGCTGGGGTTTTATTTGTTTATTTCTTATTTATTCCCTCGAGCTTAAAAGGAGTTTTACTTTTAGGTGCCGTAGCTCTGAACACTACGGACCGAGCTCAGTTTTTACACGTGGTGAATTGTGTGGGCGTTTGTCCCATCACGTTCCACCTTCGCTGCAAAGCTCCTTGTTATTGTGTTTCTGTTCTCAGATGTGGCTGAAGGAGACCCCGATGAAGACTGCAGGAGTTTAGCTGTGCAGAGCCTGGTGCTGCTGGATAAAAGTCTGAAGAAGCAACTAGAAGATCAGCAGGCACTGAGCCTGGAGTCATGATCGCAACACAAAATGCTGCAAAAAGACACTTCTTAAAGACAGATTAGTCTTATGAAGGCTGAAGTATTATTGATGGGGAAGATATGCCTCAGAAATTCAGCTGGTACAAACTGGGTCTGTCAGGAGTGGATGATCCCAATTATCCACCGAAGGATGTCCTTTGAGCTCAGCAGCTACTGTTTCAGGCACTTTGTGTTTTTTTTAAACACATCCTGTAACATTCTGCAAGCCACAGGAAGAAAGATCTATTAATTAATTATTTTTTTCCACACAGAATTGCTCATAATAATAAATGTCCTAATTTTAAATGGTAAATAATGAGGTGAATGTTCTGTGCTTTTACAGTTAATGGAGATACAGTATTATCAGTAGTTTTGTTATGGGTTTATTTCTACATTCATACATTAAAATATAAAAAATAATAATAATAGTTGTTTTCACATCTTTATTGATACTTCTTCAATATTAAATTATTCTTAATTWAATAATTTTGAATTATTGTGCTGTGTGATTTAAAAAAAAGCACATTTCAGAGTGATGTTTTATTGGGGCCATCCTAGGGCACACCTATGCATCAACCATTCTGCCTAATCAGCGTTTTGATATGCCACACCTGCGAAGTGGGATAGATTATCTCTACAAAGGAGAAGTGACCCCTAATACAGATTTACATACATTTCTGAACATTTGAAGAAAGGTTTGTTGTGTACGTAGAAAAAAATCTTAGATCTTTGAGTTCAGCTCATAAAAAATGGGAGCAAAAACAAAAATGCTGCGTTTATATTTTTGCTCACTGTACATCCACTTCAGTGAGATGCATAAATCAGATGAAATACAATATATATGCAGTTAAGATTTTAAACTTTTAATGAACTGAACAATAAATTACACAAATGAGTAAAAAAATTAAACGTTAATGAATGACTAGGATATGACTATGTCTACAAAAAAAAAAGAAAAGAACCAAAATATTTAAAAGATGGATAGAGATGTTAGTTGGATACCAATTGTTCCAACATATTTTATGTATCTGTAGATGACAACAAAGCAAACATATGTATACCTGCACGTTTTGTGGCCTCTGTTCTTCCTGTYGATGTAAACAGACTTCTTCGCATCACTTCGGTTATCTTCGGCACCTGTTTGGAAACCTTCGTTATTTTCCGTAACTCCGCCTCCTTATCCTGCCTCTGATGTTGTCAGGGGCAACTCCGAGAGACGCTTTTTTACTCCGAAGAACGGAAGGCTTCACAACAACGCTGCATACTACGGTCCATGTCTCAACCTGTCAATTTTTTTTTATTGAAAAGAGTTTTGTTAATGCGAAGAAAGTGACTCTGAAGTAAGTCCTCATGAGCCTAACAAATTGTTTCCTTAGTTTTGGTCAGCAAGCCAATCCATTCGTCGTGGTTAGCTTAGCTAATGCTAGCAGCTCGTTGAAGCTAAAATAGGGTTAGTCGTTTCTCACATACAAAACGTGGAGTTTATACCGGTTTGTTGTTACATGCTATAAATAATATAAAGTGTCGTTTGAATTTATATGAATGCATCATAGACCTACCAGTGTATCAGTTGCAAATCACTGATGGATTTATTTGGGTTAACTTGAGATAGCGACTTTTCAGAGGTCAAGTCGTTACGTCAAACATAAAACTAAAATTTTATGGACCAATCGTTGGTTATTCTACTCAGCGCACATAATGTCTTTGCTTGTTTTTCTATCCTCATGTTTAGACATAAGTGGGGAGATGGCGGTGTATTTTGACCACCGTATAGATGCCCCTGAAAACAGTGACGTGCCCTCTCACCTCACTTGGCATGCGACTCTGCCCTTACTGGCTGTGGCCTCAAGCAGCCCTGCATCTGGAGGAAGTGTAGACCTCTACCTACAGCAGGTAAACACATGGCTCGGGAGGTTGCCCTCATGCTGAAAGAGTGAAAGGTGTCTTGTTTTTCTGACGTTAAATCTGGATGCCAACACTGTCTCAAATCAGGGTGAACATGTGGAAAACTCCCACGTAGAACGACCTTACCAGCCCACTGTGCTCCGCTGGCATCCCTTAAAGCCAGTTTTGGCAGTTGGATGGGGGGACGGAGAGGTAACGCTGCTGATGCACCCCTCTGGAGATCAAACAGTGCTGCCCTGTTCACACACAGCCCACATCACACTGTTGGAGTGGAGTACATCTGGCAGCCGTTTGGTAACTGGTGATCAGGTATGTGGTTTTAATTCATCGACATCATATGAATGTCATTTACTTTTACTTTCACCTTAAAAAGCTGCTATAAGCTACTTATGTGCAACTTAAAAATAGCTTAATCTTGCATTTCATATTTATTCAAATTTTTGATTTGTGTTTTTGACAGACTGGAGCTTTAGCCGTGTGGAAATTAGATGCCAGAGGGAGACTTATGGGAAACCAACTAGTTAAGCATGAATACAACAAACCTTTAACTTGCTGCATCTTCAGACCTGCCTCTCCTGGAGAGTAAGTGGTGAACAGTTTATTTACTTTAGATTAAACTGATCTGTAATTACTCTTGTATTGTTGTATCATCTTTTTAAATCTTTTTTTACTTGAACATATTTAATCATGGGTGGCACATGGGCGGAACCTTCTTGCCTCTCAGCAAGAAGGTTCCTGGATCAAATCCCAGTACTTTCTGGGTAGAGTTTGCTTGTTCTCTCTGTGCACGCATGGGTTTTCTCCAGATGCTTTCCTCCCACAGACCAAAAATATAAATGTTAGGTTAATTGGTAACTCTAAATCATCCCTAGGTGTAAGTGAGGGAGAGAGTGAATGGTTGTTTGTCTCGTTTGTCTCTATGTGTGGCCCTGTGATGGACTTGTGACCTGTCCAGGGTGTACCCCGCCCCTCACACTGTGACTGCTGGATATGGGCACTAGTGACCCTGAAAGGAAGAAGCGGGTATAGATAATGGATGGATATTTAATCATTTGAAAAACCACAAGTATCAATGTGTAGCTGAGCTGGAGTACTCAAAAGAAGAGACCTGAAGAGGTCTTTCTTTTGAAAGCCAAAACATTCCCTGCAGGCACAGTTTACTTACATCTAAATACAGTAGACACAATAAGCCTGGCTGAAAAATCCTGGGAAGTTTGTTTAATTTAAACGATGAGTTGTTGACAGTAGGTAACTTTCTTAACAGTGATGTGGCAATGTTAGCTCGGGCTTCTGTGAGTGGAGATGAGAGTGCTCTGGACATGTTCAGCTGGAAGGGAGCGCCTCTAAAGATGGGCCCTCAGGAGGGACTTGCATTCTATGTCAGCACCGCAGATGGTAAAATTGTCTTTGGTTTGGTTTGTACTTTGATCATGTTTTGGCACATTTATATTATTATTTATCCTGATTTCCTTTGTACATAGGACGAGTCCATGTTGTGGATGAGCACTGTAAGACGAGGACACTCCTCAGTGTGGAGAGCTCCATCAAGAAGCTTTTCTATTTTGAACAAAGGGATGTGTTTGCTGTGATCACAGAGACCCTGATGTTGTCACAGTACATGCTGAGACCTGAGGGTGGAGCACAGGAACTTATGAAGGTATACAGTTAACAAAAATCCTGTAATTCTAATTTTTTTCATCAATTGAACTTGAGTTTATGAGCATGTTTTACAGGTGAAGCTGAGCAGCAAGGCCGGGCAAAACGTTGATATTATTTGGACAGAGAATGGACTCCTCATTACAGCGACAGGGGAGCAGATCATCAGGTCTGTTTCCACCTGTCATCTCTGTACACATGCATGTTTTTACCTTGGATACTTATGTTTTCTTTTTTAACCCCTCAGACTGTCAGACCTGGAGAGAGATGACAACTATGTTTTGTCTCTTGATGAAAACTTGGGGTTTGAGAAAGGAGAACTGATCAATTGTGTTTCATACTGTGCAGCAAAAGGCAAGTGTAAAAAATGCAAAGCAATGCTTTTCTATTGTTGTTATATGGTTTTGTAATTAAACAGTTTTACTGTCCTGATGCATCTCAGTAATCCAGGTAAAAAAATCAAAAAGAAAAAAATGTTATAGGTCTTCTGGATGGGTTCTTCTC